GAATAAACATTGTTTCATAAAAGGGTAAAACTAAAAGGTAAGTAACAGACTAGGAGGCACAAATTGGCAGAAGATATTTAAGAGATTTAAGAGGTTATTATTGTTGAGAATACATAAAGAACTCCTATGTGTAAACAGAAAAGAAACAAATAACCCCATGAAAAAAATGGACCACGGGTATGAGTTGGTGCCTTGTGATAAGAGAGAAAAAACCAACATGTGTAACATGATTATCATACAGAAAATAGAAATTAGAACAATGAGATATTTTTCTCCCCTTCAAATTGGCAAAAATGCCAAGACTGATACCAAGTGCTGGTGAGGCTGTTAGAGGTGGCGGTGATAAGTTGGTGCAATCTCTTTAGAGGACCATTTGCTTTGTCAGGTCTACATTTACAATGTGCTTAACTTTCAACTCAGAGATTCCACAACTGGTTATCAATCCCAGATGAATGCCAACCTTGTGCACAAAGATCCACATAGAAGAAAACTCACTATCTCATTTTTTTTGACCAGTTAAAAAACTAAGAGATCTAATTATCCATCTATTGAAGAATGAACTATCCTATGTACACTTGGAATTTTATAAAACAGTGCAAAAAAGAATGAAGTAGATTTATATATTGATGCAGAAATATCTCCAGGAAATAATTAATCAGATTATAAAACAAGGCAAACGGTGGGACCCTTTTCAGGTACTAACAATCCCCTGGTCCGATACAGATATATGAAAGCACATGTGTGTGTCCAGCTCTGTGGAGACTCTGGAAGGACATACAGAAACTGGCCAGGCTTCCTACCAAGGAATGGAGCAAGGGTCAACATTTCCTTTTTCACTCTTATTTTTCTGGCTATTAGAAACATTTTTACAATCAGAATGCACTCATGTTTCACTGGGGTGATTTTAAAACCTGAACAACCTCCCCCACTTTGGAATCTTATGAGATACAATCTGATGCTTATTCTTCATGAAACTCCCCCAATCTGACTGTTTGTGGGAGAGAGGAGCATCTCCTTCCCTGAGGGGAGCAAGGCTGGAGTTAGGAGAACCAGGTTGTGGCTTTGGTCCCTGTGGAACCTTCACTGGGGACGTCACTCAACTTCTCAGCCCAGGTGCCCAGGTGTCGCAGTGAGCAGGAGCACAGTTCTTCCATTTTCTGGGGTCCCTCTGGACGTCAACAGCTATCAGGATGGACAGGCCAGGGAAGGTGCCACGTGATGCACTCGGGCCAGCTCTGAGCCCGCCACTAAATTCCATTAAGACGGACAATAAAAACGGACAATGCCCATGAGGCCATGGTGCCCTCCAGATGGGGAAGTGTCCCAGTGAGTGCAGATTAGCGGCCAGAAGGCTTCCTGTGGAGAGCTTCCACAGATGCAGAATCAATTACCATTGGATTATCAGCCACAGAAAATCCCGTCATTTGGGGAGAACTGGACAGTAAGTCATGATTAAGAGTGACCACAATCCCTTTAGTGGGGCCATAATGTCAGGCTACACTGCTGTGATTGTGGATGGCAGGGTTCCCCTCTCTGGGGTCTTCCTGGAGGATGCCCGGGGACCCCTGGCTCTGAGGACCTGGGGAGTCTGCAGGCAGATGTCACCGTGCGCGAGCAGGTGTTACCACGTGGCTCCCAGCCGGCCTGACTGGTAGTTTCCTAAGAGGCTGGGACCTTCTCAGGCACTTATCTTTTCCCTCCTTCCATTTTACAGGCAGGAGCTACCGAGGACCCTAAGGTTGCTGAGGCCGATGTGGAGGGCCACCTGTGTGTGGTCTCCAGTGTTCTTCTTACACATATCTCAGAACTCGTGGCTTCTCCCAATCCAGTGCTAGCTCTCCCCTTCTACTGTGACCCTCTTTCTCCAGGGCACCCTGAGAAGGACCGTCAGGCTCCCATGTCCACTGGTTCCCACTGAGTGTCCCCTCGTCACTGATTTCCATCTGGGGGTCTTTCCTGTGCACATTATTCCACTTGCCACTTCACTCTGTCATGCTCCCTGCTGTAAGATGAATATTCTTGAGAAATAAAATGACAAGCCAGCTCTGATGATGCCATGCACTCCAAAAATTATGCCTGGTTCCCCAGCATTCAGGGGGTGAAAGGACCCCACCGCCTTCAGGCTTCACGCTGTCACACACCCTCCCCCCACCAGGACTTAGCTGTCACAGTGCCTCCCTGCTTCCCCAGGACCTGAGTGTGAGCAAAGGCAGGCTGAGTGCCCTGCCCTTCCAGATGCCCAACAACCTGCCGGGAACTCTCTGGGTCCTTAAGAGAGCGGACCCAATGCCAGGCTTGGGATCCACCCCAACACACCCTTGCACCTGCCTCCAGGCCTGGCTCAGGCTCCCTGGTGCCCCTCCCTGAGGCCCCTGCTAGAACCCCACTCTCCATTTCCAAAACCAGACGCCCTCAGCCTCTGCCTTTCTGTGTAACACGTGCAGCTTCTCCTGACTCCCATGCCAAGTGCGGTCTGTGTCTTTTTATGGTGCCTAAAACTCAGTGTGCTTTAAGACGTGCCCTTACAGCCCCGACCCGGGCATCGGCAGGAGTTTGAGGAGGAGAAGGAGCCAGCGTGTTTGTGATCTGGCTCATCCCCCCCCTTTGGACTGAACGTGCTCCCAAGGCCAGGGCGGGCTGTTCTAGACCTTGTCACTGCAGGTCTGGCAACGTTCAGGAAAGGGATCTGTAGGAAAGAGCTGCCAACTGGATCTCAAGTGGTTTGGCTGGCTAGACCGAGGGCCCCTCCCATGTTTTTGGAGAAGATTCTCCTTCATCTCTTTCCCTGGGGAAGGCCAGCAGCACCTCACTGCCCACTGGCCCTGAGAGGCCCCCTCCCCAAGGCTTCAGCTTCTTGGATGCAAAGAGCAAAGGGGAGTCCATGGGCAGGCAATGGAAGGTGGGAGGGAAGAGGAGAAGGGAGGCAGGGAGGCTCAGCAGGCCAGGGCTGGGGGCACAGACGGGGAGGGCCTGCTCCTGTGATCCCCCACCTCCCAGCCTCCCAGCTGGCCACACTGCAGGTTGGACACAGCACCTGCTAGGTGTCCCTATTGTGATGGCAGGCAGGTTCTTATCCTTCAGAGCTGCCGGTTTTCCAAGGGCTGCAAGGTGCTGGTCGTTGATCAAGGTGCACGTCATTTACACTGATACTTCTGAGAAGGTGGCTTGGTTGGTTGTTAATTAGCCATGTTTGTTAATTAGCCATTTCTATTCTCTGTCACTTCCTCAACAACATTGTTTTTACTTGGATATGAGAGGCCTTTGCCTGTGCTCTGATTTCTCAGGACAATATTTTTATACCATGGTCAGGAGATCAGGTGTGAGGCCACTGAAAGCGTGAAAACACAGGTTGTTTTCTTGCTCGAGAGCACTGTGCACTTGGGAAGGTGGCCTTAGACTGCAGTCCTGTGCTCAGGCAATGTCGTCTAGAAAACTCCTCTAATGTTAAGAGCTCAGGACTTCACAGATCTCTGCTCCAGAGGAGACCAGCTGTGAGCAGCACTGCTGTCCGTCAAAAGGACAGATTTTTGTGGAGGTGTGATGTCGCAATTGGCCTCATCCATCATGCCTCAATGACCAGGGTTCGTGATGCCACTGATTCCCTGAGAGACGAGCCTGTCTTCTTTTGGCAAAGGAGGCTTTAAGATGTAGCAAGGCAACGCCCCTGGAAATAGGAGGGTCCAGGGAGGTAATGTGGTAGGAAGATGGTCACCCTGGGTAGGACGACGTTTCTCATTGGATTTGTTCTTACTCACACTGATGAGCTTTTAGGCACTCCGTGGGCTACCTTTTCTTCTAGCCAACTTCTAGTAAACTCCAGCCTCCCACATCATTAACAAGGCAGGCCACATCTACGGCATTTATCCTCCAGGTCCCCTTTGTACATTGTCTGTCCCTAGTCCCCTTCCGTAATATAAGTGCATTAAAAAGGTATTAGTTGGCTATAGAAACTGGACTTGTAACCAACATCCTTACGGGGCCCAGAAACACAGAGGTGCCAGAAAGATACTTTTCAGATCCAAGTACCACCACCACCACTTTACTTTAAGGGACATGGACCACTTTAAGAAGCCCATGATAAGGGGCTGGGGATGTAGCCCAGGGGCGGAGCACTTGCCTAGCAGTACAAGTCCCAGGGTTCAACTCCCAGCACCACACACAGAGAAAAGTACCTGGTATGAACAGGTGGTAGGGTTCTCTAAGACAAAATGAATACCACACGTGAGAGGAATGAGGAATCCAAGTACAGTTTGCCCAGTTACATGAAGAAAGAGCTGGGTCCAGGGAAACAGGTCAGGGGTCCAACTGACCATCTCCACACCAGTGTCAACCTGGGGCTATCCAGATGGAAGCCCAAGCCAGCACTCAATGGGTGGATGTTTTTCTTTCAAAATTCAAAATATTGTGGGATGTGTCCATATTTCCTATTTGGGAGGATGGGAAATGGTCCTCGTTGATGTAAATGACTTGAGATTGACCACTCTCAGTCCCTTGGGGGTTGTGGAAGGGAGTTCTGTTTCTAGAAACTATCAGGTCATCATCTTCACTTCCCAAAGAATGTCACACTGACCTCCCAACACCATCTGTCCAGAGGGCCTGCGGGGTCTCAGATGGCTACTGCAACACCTCGCAGCAGACCCTCACCCGGGTGTTCCTAGGGATCGCCTGTCCATCAAAACGAGCTCAGGAGGAGCTCCTAGCCCTACTTCTTTCCAGCCCAACCTGACTTGACACAGGGGGTGGGCAAGAGTCGACACTTGGCTTTCACACTGAAGAGCACTTCAATTTAGACGCTGGATGAGTTGCTTAGGGATTCAAGGGTTCAGATGCTATTTATCATGCGAGTGACTCTTAGGGAGTCCCTGGCTGCTTTACAGAACAAAAAAAGAGTAAGATTTATGGGAAGAAGATCCAGGGCCAAAGATGAGGAGGTAGGAGTGTGGATTCAGTGAAACATGAACATATCAGCACTGCACCATCAGAGCCACCAGAAAGGATATCTCGCAGGGCTGTCCTTAAGGGCATTGAGGAATCCTGTTTGCTGGGAACCTGCGGGAATGAAACCAACGTTTAGTATTCAGACACTTACCTCCAGAATGAGCAGTCTCATGCTGCAAGCCCTCATCTACATAAAAATTATAGGTGTCTAAAGATCAATTAAATAATTATATTTTGTAAGTGCTACGGCACCCAGTTTACTGATCAGAAATGGAGATTCCACTAAAGTTATTCAACAAGAAAATGGCAGATTCACAATTAGACTCAACATCTGCAGGATATTGTTTCAATAAAAGCAGATGGATGTCTGCACACTTGCCCATAAATTACAGTTCTGATTGCTCTTTGTTTCCTCCATTTTAACAGCAAGACAGAATACTGCATGCTATTTTTTTTCTCCTCTGTTTTCCCCAAATTTGTTAACTTTTGACCCTGGAAGTCCTATAGACTTGACCACCTGTGACACAGCTCTCCCGCCTCCACACCCAGAGTAAACAAAGTCATAAAGTTGCAGTGTAGAACGGATCCTTTTGTGTTAATGACATTTTCACATGAGCTTGTCTGTGCAAGGAAACATTAGGAGCTTGAACAAACAGGCATTTGATGAGAAGCATTTTTTTGTTGTTATGTATTGACATCAAACTTTTACAAATAAAAGCCTATTTGGGGGAATTTTTGACAGTCCCCTCTTGGAGGATGACGCCTGGTTCCTCTTTGCTGGATAAGGGTCCTGTGCTTCAGCAGATGCAGTCTGGTCCACATTCAGTATCAAAATGTGCAGAATGGTAAGACAGTGCTGGGCTGCTCGCTGCATCTCTGTGCTGTTTCACTGTCTGCAGGGCAGGGTTAGTGAGTGACAGGGCCCCAGGAAGAACATCCCACTATGGGTGGCGAGGAGGGGCTTGCTCCATATTCTTCCCTGAGTCTCTGCTCTCTCAGGACCTACCGCCCATCACTAAGGCTCAGAGAAGTACAGCGTGGTGGGAAGGGATGTGGAAGGGGCTGCCTCAGGAGCTGACAGGGGAAGGGAAGGCAGGTGCATTAAGCTTCTTCCCTTATCCCTGAGGCTAGCAAGGTGCACCCAGCAAGCGGGCACGCTGCAGGTCATGGGCAGGCACAATCTGGAGGCAAAACAAGGGGAAATTATTATTTTTTTCTCTACTAAACTCACGCTGTATCCCCTGCCTCAAATCCCCTACCCTCACAGAAATCCAGATTGTGGCTTCCAGGAGCACGGGAGGCCAGGACTTCTCTCCCCAGCTCAGCACCCGGGCCATGCTCCCAGCGCCCTCAGGCAGCAATCTGCCCTGCCCATGGCACCTGAGTCTTAGGGGCACGTAAGGACCATGAAGCGCTTTGCCCTTGAAAACGTCATGGGCCAAGCCAAACATGGTGGCAGGTTGTTTCATGGGGATTGTTTGGGGGAGCCAAACAGGGGAAAGAAAAAGCTTTATTTGCTGTACAAAATATATCTTGCAGGCAGATAAATTCTTAGTGTTTTGTCGATTAGATTAACAATACTTCAGCATAAGCGGCCGTCAACTCCAGTTTTCTGGAGCCAGAGTGAGTGGTGCTTTAGCAAAGGGGAAAGAGATATGCACATCCCAGCCCAGCCATGGGGGCTAGCAGCGGACTTCACTGTATGTGAGTGTGAGTGTGTAAGGGAGTGCATGTGAGGTGTGTGTGAGACCCTGGGTTAGGGGTGTAGGTGTGAGAGAGTGAGGGTAGATAAGGGTAAGGGCAGGTGATAGTGTAAGAGTGTGTGAGAGACTGAGTGTGTAAGTGTGTAATCAGGCCCGTGTGAGTGTGATGTGTGTGTGTGTTCCTGAAGTTCACGAGTGAGCAAGTGGACTCCAGAGGCGAGGCCACAAGCACAATTTCATAGTGTATATGAAGCATCTTGAACTTGTCAAAGATGATACAAAATGTAAGGTTCAAACGCTACACGTGTGTGCTGGAGTTAGCACTGATTTAATTCTGCGTGTGTCAACAATTGCTTCTTTGAAGATAATGTGATACACTAGGTTTTCTCTCTGCTTCTTTAGTCCATGAACCCCCAGATCAGATGCTGGCTCAGTTTTGCTGGATGGGGCCTCTGAAATTGCAGAGATAGGGGCCTCTGCAGAGCCTCCAAGGAACCAGTTCAGCTGGTGTGCGAGAAGACTGATGAACACTGTCTCCTGCAAGCCCTCCAAGGTATGGCTGTCAACTGTAGGTTACAAACTTGTGTCATATTCAGACAAAAGGAGCACAAAAAGAAGGGAATGAGGATTTAAAATATCTGTGAGAATTTGGATAGTCTGTTTAGTGTCCACACTCCGCTAATGCTCACCAGAGGTAATGCAAATTGTTCTGTACCTACACTTCCCCAGTTGCACATGGACCCTACCCAAAGACAAGGGAGGGAAGTGCACCCCAGCTGAGACCCCACATGCTCAATCTGTGTGTCAGCACTGAAGCAGGCAGAAGGTGAGGCTCTGTCCAGATGCTGCTGGAAATATGCTAGAGGGAGGCCGTGCACTTGCTAGTGGGTGGCTGTATTTCAGGGATGTGGATGAGAGCCATGGATGGTCTTCAGTGTTGCTGTCAGTACTGTAATTGAAGTTTAAAGGCTTGAATTTCTAGTTCAAAGCCAATTAACTTCCTTCTTCTCATCACTGCCTGTTGTAGGAAGGTTAATGATCAGGAGACGAAGAAACTCAAAGTTACGACTTTTGGAATAGAGAACAAAAAATTCCATTTGCTTAGGCAAATATATTCAGATCATTATTCATCCAAGTCTAACTTTTTTAATATTTATTTTTTAGTTGGACACAATACCTTTATTTTATTTATTTATTTGTTAGGTGGTGCTGAGGATCGAACCCAGGGCCTTGCACACACTAGGCGAGCATTCTACCGCTGAGCCCCAGCCCTGAAGTCTTAACCTTTAATAAAGTTACTTTCTCTATATGCTAGGGGGTAGTTTGCTCATATTCTAGTGGACAACTGAGTATATCATTAAATGTGTACTTTTAACATACCCAGGTATGTGCACAAGGAAACCCAGACGTGTTTCCTGGGGCAGGTGCTTCCTGTGTTAAGGAGCCCGGTTTTGCTATTTAATGTATCACTGTGGCCCAGTGTCCTTTGTGCAAAATGTGGGGATAAATCTTTTAGAGGATCCCTTAGCAGAAGTCTTTGAGGTTGGAAAGGGGACAGGTGCATCGGAAACAGTCCTGTTGGTGGAAGCAACACCTGGTCCGGGTGTGACCCAGGCAACTGCTGTTGGAAGGCGGGGGGGGGGGGCAGGCGAGAAGTGAGGAGGGGGAGAGGGGAAAGAGAAGGAAGAGAGAGCCCGAAATGATCAAAGTATCAAATCAAAATCAAATCAGGAAACCAAAGTCAGGCAAATGGGTACATACGTAATCTGATTTCGCCAGCATACTTACGAAGAATGACGTGGGTGATAACGAATGCAAATATAAAGACTGTCAGAAAAGACAGGGATAAAATAAACATATAAAAAAATCTGTAGTTTCTTTTCCCCACACAGTTGCCTACCCAGGGACAGTGGTGATCAAACCGTTCTGAAATGAGAGGCAGAAGAAAAAAGAGTGGAAATCAATTAATAAAATGTCTTTTTACTGGAGGGAGCCCCTCCCCCATACCCTGATAATATAAAAATATCATACTACATTTTTCCAAAATAACCACTCAGAGGGATGCTTATTAACATCGAGACATTTCAGGAACATAATTATTCTTCCAACAGAATTCGGCTGTTTCAAAAAACCAAGTGTACACAGAAAGAAACGGGAGTACAGGGCTGGGGTGGAGCTCAGCGGTCGAGCGCTGGCCAGCACGTGCAATGCCCTGGGTTCAGTCCCAGTACTGCCCCCCCGAAAAAAAGGACAAAGTCTTGTTAGAAAAGTAAAGAATTCCCTCTTTCTAAAAGACAACTCTGAATTCACAGAACAGTCTTCCCTGAAGATGTTGCCAAGGCCACTCGATGGTAGAGGCTGGGCTAGGCTGGGTGGGTGGGGGCCAGATGTGGAATTGGGTGACCACCTGGTACAGAAAGTGGTCACAGAGAGAGGCCACCAAGGGCTGGAACAAGACAGAGGGACACTCCTCAGTTCTCCCGTCCCAGTTAGTGTTGCACACACACTCGTCACATTCGTTAGCACATTCTAAAACATTCCTATAAGGAAAGTGAAAACCTGCCCTGTTTTCAGATGAGTGAGCCGAGGCTCAGGGAGATGGGAGACTTTCTTGCAGGGGGCCAGCCAGCTCAGAGGCAGTGAGGCTAGAGCTTGAGTCCAGGTCTCCCACTGCGTGTGTGGCCTCTGGTGTTGTGTATATTTATAGCATTTGTTGTGACAGCGCTGCGTTTGCAATTCCACCTGTCAGGACCCCACGGTACCCCAGGTGCACAGCCAGGCCTCCCATCTGGGGAGCATCCCACAGTCTGTAGTGCATCTGTGATTTGTTCTTTCCTTTGCAAGTGACGGCAAAGGCTTCTCTTGACTGCTCAGCAGATTACTGACATCCACTGCTCCGTGTGATTCCCACACACCCACTCACATCAGGCTGATGCTGGCCCCAGAGAAAAATGCTCAGCATACAACTTAGCTTTGTGCAAAGACTCTCTCCTAAGCTTACCAGTGTTCATATTTCATCTATCTATATTTGCTTTAAAAGCACACAGAAAAGGCTCTCCGTGTGACATTGTAAACATAGCATTACAGCGTTGGGGGAGTGGTCAGTTCCCCAACCCTCTGAGCATGTGTCACAAACCACTCATCTCCTATATGAGGTCAAATGCCTGTTTCTTGAAAGGGGCCTGAGGACACCTGGATGGAGGTGGCACAGGATCTGCAAGGGAATCACCACGGTCTGCAAGTGGCATTAAGAAGAAATTGCCAATCATGCCAGGGACATGACACATTTTGTCACTAGCTTGGCGACAACCTTATGGCCTATAAAATGCTGATATATAACAAAAGCAATTTCAATTGGTGCCTTCATGTGAGTCACAGTTGACATGGCCACAGCCCCATATCCTGGAAGAGCTAAGCTCTACATTCAGACAGCCCCATTAGGGTGAGAAGGTGGGACAACAGACAGAGCACAGAGAATGGCTAGCGCAGGGAAAACACTCTGGATCATGACAGAGGCACTTTCTTGTATGTTTGTCCAAAGCCACAGAATGCACAAGGCCAAGATCAAGCCCTAGTGCCAACTATGGATTTAGGGTGATTACACTGTGTAGGTCTATCAGTTGAACGAATGTCTCCACTCTGGTTGGGGATGGGGAGGTTGTGCAGGTGGGGTGCGGGAAGACTGGAACTCTGAACCTCCCTCTCAATTTTGCTGTGAACCTAAAACTTCACTTAAAAAAAAATAGTCTTTAAATTGTAAACAAACAAACCTCACTTCCCCCAGTCACTGATCTACAGTCTGTACATGAGAGGCCTACCAGGAGGGCAGAGTCAGTGGGCTTTCGCCGGCTTTGAGGCTACTGCTTGAGAAACCACTTTTCTTCAAATCTGACTGTAGGAAACAGGAACAAGAGTGGAGGCCAGGGGCAGGAAAGCACACCCCAAGTTCAAGTCTGACTCCAGCAGTCTGCACTCTGAGTCCCTTGTATAAGGAGCCTCTCAGCTACGGGGAAAATCTTTGCTCAGCAGAGCACAGAGCTGGGAGACATCCTCAGCTCCTGGGAACTCCATCGAGTGGGAAGGTCTTGCAGGCACAGGGCCCGTTTCCGCAGGGCAGGCCTTGGATTTTTAGCTCAGAAAGTTTAATACTAGCTGAGGTGTGTTGCTGCATGGCCTGGCCTGGCCTGGCCTAAGAGACTTCGAGGTGGCCTTCCAATGACCCTGGCCTGGAAGCCTTTCCCACGTGGATTTTTTGTTTTGTTTTGTTTTGTTTTCCCAGCAAGACAACTTTTCCTTGGCTGACAAAGCCCCACTAACACTGCAGGCGCACTGAGCAATTCTTCCATCGACTGTTTTTCTTGGCCACCATTGTGTTTGTTGAGCTCATGGTGGTCAGTGGTTCTGAGAAGACTGGGGTCCTCTGTGGACCTGGCCAGTGTGGGACCCAGGGCAGGAGGAAGGGGCCCAGGGGTGCCTCCCTCTCAGTCCTGCATGGGACCATGCTGTCTGCCCACCCTGGGCACACGGCGGCTCCAGGGCTCAGCTTGCACCTCTGCTATTCTCCATGACTCTCTGTCGTTGGAGAATCTTTCACCCCAAGGTTCAAATGCCAACTCTACCCCAAGACTCCAAAATGGTGTCTCTCAGCTTTAGTGACAGACTCCTGTTGAAGGCCTTCCAGTGTCTCAGACTGGCCTTGTCCCAGAGATATTTTTCCTGTCATCCCTCCCCAAACGTGAGCCTCTCCATACCCACATCCACAGGTGCTCAACCCAGAACCCAGGTGTTCCTTCTCTGCCCCACATCCAGTTCATGAGCAGGTCCTGTGGGCTCCACTCCACCTTTATCCAAAATCACGTTATTTTTACTCATTTTCATAAGCTGAAATATTGATTAGGCTTTAGGTCTAACAGATCTTTGTCCAATGACTGAATTAGCCCACTTATTTCCAGAAGGACATGCACATGAATAAGTAGGTTTTCCCAAGTCACATAGGAAAGGAGTCCCAAAGCTGGGATGGGGGCCTACTTCATATGTCAGTCTGAACCCTTGGCCAGTAAATGCCACCCTGACTTTATTATTTCCCAGGAGCCTAGCTAGCACCATTATCAGGTGCCAGGAAACTAAGAAGAAAAAAATAGCAACACAGGACTCCATGACTCCTAAGAGTTTCTGATCCTATTTGTTGAGGACACTATTTTCAGCCTCCAAAAGATTCCTCAGGTGCAAGGAAAGAGCTAACAAACCCAGCTCACCTTCAGAACCAGCCCTTACGCTCACCGCTCACCGCTGTTGGCAGCACAAAAATGTTCTCCTTTTATGGATCAAGGACAAAAGGGCCAGGAAGCATGATGGAGGCCGAGGGAGCAGGGTGGGGGCCCCGTGGTGGAGGCCTCTCGGGATGGCCCTAGCTTGTGGTGGGAGGCCTCCCTTCTGCTCTGAATATGCTCGGAGGATTGGCAGGAAGTCCAAGAATTTCCAGGGCAGTTCTGAACCATGAGGCTTGTGCTGCTCGGTTTCCAGGCCAGAGGAGTAGACCAGAATTGAACAGCAGCTGAGCAAGTGGCCATGGCTGACGCCTGACATAGCTCCCAGGGACCCAAGCAATTGGCTGGCAGAGCCAGGGCAGACATCTGGAAGAGGGGACCCTGACAAGTGGCCAGCCCTGTTGCATGCAACCACACAGCTGAGCAGTTCCTAACAGCTGCCCTGAGGGTCCGTGTGGGGAAATGGAAAGGGGTCCTGTGTTCCAAAGGTGGCAGGGTGGGTGTGGGTGTGATGGAGTGTCTTTAAAGGACCCCCTTGGGGTTGTGGCCCATGGTTTGATTCTGAAGTCTGTATCCTTCCAGAACACAGTGGTCTCCACTCTGCAACGGCCCTGCAGGATCCTTTTAAAAAGAACGAGGATCTCTTCCCTACAGGAGGGCAGTTGACTGGCTCCTGGGGTGGAGTGTGGCCAGCTAGGTGGGGTGTCCTGCTGTTCCTCTGGTAGCACAGAGCAGCCTGCAATGCCCCGAGGACTTGTTTTCCTCTTCCCCCAGATACCCCTAAGGCAGGAATCACAGCTAGCCATTTTAATAGCTCTGGTATACAACAAGCACTCAACATATACACATCAAGTAAAGAAAGAGATGACTTTCATGGCCGCTGGTAGGTTTATGAGTGACCACTACTGCTGGGGGCCGGGTGGGGGCCTCAGACAGTGCGGGGAGGGCTTGGGCATCGCGACCACAGGGAAGGCAGGAGGGGCCTTGTCATCTGAAGATGCTCAGAGAAGGCTGAGGGGTGGGAGATGCTCACCAGAGCCTTAGAGAGCAGGTGGACAGCTGTTAGTGTGAACTGGCTCCTGGAGAACGTAGGAGGCACAGGTGGTTTTCTTCAAAGCTTTGTGGGTGCCACAGAGGGACTCAGAGGCTGGAGGGGAACCGAGTCACCTGCCCCCGGATCCCAAGCATGGAAGGACGTTTCCACAACAGTGGATAGTGGGGACATAGTTCAGGTAAAGGAGGCACTCTGCTATGTTGCTGGCCTCTGTTTTGCTAGGGACTAAGGAAAGCTTCCAGCCACTGCAACCTGTTAGCAACAGCGTCTCCTTCCACTTGACAATAACCCCACCTGCTAAGCCAGCTCTGGGACCCTGAGCTGAGTTGCTTCATTGCTCCTTTGACTAAAGGAGGATTTAATTTCTGGGTGAGATTGAATATGAAAAAAGAGGCCTTAAAATAAAGAGAAGTGGAGAATGATTCAAATTGGATAGGAGAGAAAAGTCCACTGAAATGTGGAAAGAAAAGTATTTGCAAGAGGCACGTTTGAAGGCTGTCAGAGAGAGAAATGAAATATTTGGAGAAAAAAAAAAAAAACGGTAAGAATCTGAAGCTCCCAGCAGGTAGGCCCTGACCTGGGCCCCCAAGAGTCAGATCCACAGA